CCACAGCGCTAGACAAAAACGTGCAGCCTCCAGTAACAAGCCACAGCACACTCATGCACACCACAGCGCGACGGAAATGAATGCTGGATATGCATCTCAATATAACTACATGACAAATGATACCTTAAACGCCAAAAATGTTTCAGAGAGTTTCATTATACACAGGTTTCATGATCCATACAGCATAAGCAAAAACGTGAGGCCAAGAAAGGACAGACACCTACATGGGGTGGGAGGCTAGGTCAGAACTGCAGTCTTTCAGGCTGCGTAGCATCACCCATTATGTGTGCACGTGGATCATGTACCATCGGATAAAGGGGGCAGCAACTGGAACCGATTCCTATTTCAGATGCAAACACGCATGCAGTGTTTACTGACAGAGAGGCTATAAAGTGGAATCTGATACACTTGTTATCGAAACACATATTTCATAAATGGAGGACCATACAGGATAGGATATAAAATACTAATTTTGGCTTTTCTTGAGGAGTCTGGGTAACAAATTGATTTTGTTTTTCTTTGATTTTTTTTTCCATAGCAAACTTTTCTTATTATAAGCTTAAAGTTTTATAAGACATTTATAGAATTTAATGCTTATTTCATTTCTGTCAAAACCACAGTGATGCCAGGGCAATTTTTTTTCAAAAGGGACTTTTTTGGTCTCTTGATAATCCAATCAGTTCCCCTGCAATCAACAGCTCCGTTCACACGACCCCCAAACCAAGTGATTATTACTGCACTGAAATGCTTACGCACTTTTCTGAAACTCTTCCAGTTTTCTAACAGCTTCATCTCGTTCTTGCCTAATTCTGTCACACTGAAATGAAAAAGAAAAAGAAATGTTAGATTCATGCAGTAAGGTTTAACCTTCACAAGGTGAGAGGAAAGAATCAACTTACAAACAGCAGCAGCAATTTTTTCTTTCTTTCCGTTTGTTTTGTTTTGTTTTTTCCCAGACATGCTCTCCCTCAGGGACTGGAGAGAGAGCTCAGCAGCTGAAAGTGTACCTTCCGTGCTTACAGAAGTTCAGTGCCCAGCAGCCATGCCACGCAACTCCCAGGGCCTGACTCCAGCCCCGGGGAACCTGGCCCCTCTTCTGGCCTCCACGGGTACTGCACCGGCGTGCGCATGCCCTCACACAGACACACGAAGACACATGACTAAGTTAAACTGAACTAATAAATTCTTGCCACAGACCCACAGTGCCAGGTGCCCGCACTGCTCACCCAGCGTGGGTGTGTCACTGTTCCCAGCTGCGGGGCTAGGCCTTCGTAAGCAGCCATTCCTGCTCCCTCTCTCCTTGGTGACACTGACTATCCTTGAGTTAATATGTCCCTTCTTTAAGAAAATATGTACGGCTGCGACACTACAGAACCACGGAGCTCCCAAAGCCCATCTCAGGGATGCACGCTGGCTGAGTGTTACATCAGCGTGCCCACTGGCATGCATGAGGGTCCGAGTTCAGATTCTCAGCATCCACATGAAAGCTGGGCACGGCCACGTGTGCTTTCATTCCAGCTTTGGGAGGGTGGGGAGAGAGAGATCGTGAGAGAGCTGGTGGAAAGTGACAGAGCATTCTCCGCTGGCTTCCATGAGTTTGTGGGTACCTGCACACGCATGCATGACACACACGCACACACGCCTCTGTTCACGGGGCACATCCACAGGGTCTCAGTGAGTGATAAAGCCGACCATGGAACTCTAGCTTAGCCCCTCCCTGTCATGAGTCAGGGGACCAGGCATTCTCCTCAGAGGCTTGCGGGTTCCTGTGCGGATCCATCCTCTGTGAAAACACAGGCGACCGTCTCGCAGAGCCCCTGGCCTCGGTTTAGCCCGTGAACTACACTTTTCTCCTCAGAGCTCTGGCGTCCCCAGGCAGCATCTCACACCTGGCTGAGCAGGACAGCCTGTGACTGCGACAGGCCGGCCAGCAGCTTCTGAACGTTCCTCTTACGCTCTGTAACCGGCCTCGGTTTGCTTTGGGCCTCCCCCAGCCTTCTGCTGGGCTGTCCACCCTACAGATGCACAACAGAGATGAAGGCGCAAACAGAATCCACATTCCTGAGACCAGAAGACCGAGATGGCCTCGAGCCGAGCGCTGGGGCTCTGCTTTCTGGATAATTCCACCCAGCATTTCTGGGGTGTAAGGTGTCCTCTGTGGACAAATCTTCACAAGACGTTGCTAAGGGAAGAGGCCATGGCCTCAGTCACTTGGGCGTCTCACTATGGCTCTCACGACTCCATTGAAAGGAATTAACGGTGTATCTAGTTCCCACTTAGGTACCCGGTTTTCACGGAAACTTTGCGTATGAGCGTGTGAACAGGGCAGGGCTCAGCACTCTACCTAGTCATCCTGGAACATGCACCCGCACAGCAACCGCTGCCATGACTCCACTTCTTGGTCGGGAGCAGCGCCCTTCCCGGTGCGGAAGGAAGGCTGGGTGCTGGGCTCTGCTGTGAAGACCAAGGTCTCAGGCCAGGGCGCAGGGAGCGGTTCTGCAGAGTCCGCTCGCACTGAGTTGCCGACACGGCCACCAGCTGCTCCCAAGCCCAGCTGTGCTCACAGGGGTCTCCGTGTTGCGTTGCTTTCTATTTTTTGCACCCACGTTAGGGCAGAACTGGCAGCCGCTGAACTTGCCATCTGCTCTGCTGAGAGGCTGAGAGGCTGGGAGGGGGCGCACGCGCCGCAGACGCGCTCAGCGATTCCACGCCAGGACTGCTCACACGAGGGGGACGCACCCGCTCACGCGCAGGAGCGCAAACACCTATCTACAACCTCGGATGAAGGTCACCCTTCTCCGGGTCTACCAACACGGGCAGCCCAGGCCCTGCAGCACGGCTGCCCCGGGCGCCGCAGAGAAGCACGCACCCTTCCTGCTCCCTCCTCTCCCCTGCCCAGGCAGCTGCACCATCTGTAAAGACCGTCTCTTTTGTGTTGAGAATTGCTGGTGGAAACTTTGTGAAAGCAACAGATGTTCTCTGGACTGCATCATTTAATCAGGAAGACCAACAATTCTCTACAGCTCCAGGCTGGAGTCGAACCCAGTAGGCTGAGTGCTGGCTGCTCTGAGCCTGCAGACTCGCTCGGCTGTTTAGAAGTGGCAGTTTGAAAGTGGTGGTTTTGAAAGCCTTTGAATGAGAAGCCCAGGTTATTTTCCTAACTCGTCATTAATGCTCTAGGCCTGTGAAAGCTCGCCTGGCTTGAGAAACCAAACCAGAGCCCAGAAAGACTGCTGGGCTGGCAGAGACACGCCCTTCTAGCACGAGTGTACTCCTCCCTGGGACACAAGTTACCCATCAGCCAGTGCTATCAACAGAAACATGCCTCTGTCTGTGTTCACTGGAAGCACTAGATGGATGAGGAAGAGACTGGTAGGTAATCTGTGTGTGAGTGATGCTACAAAACCCGAACATTCCAATGGTGCCTGACCTCTGGCGGTGTTTCATATGCAGGCGCATACATGCAAAAGAGAACTACTAGAAAGAACAGCTGCAAGCCTGAAAGATACCCTGATGCACCACCTCCGCACACTGACGGATAGGAGACACCGGTGGGGGCCGGAGAGGTGGCTCATAGGTCAGGATCGCTGCCTGCTCCTCTGGAAGCCCCGGGTTCAATTCCCAGCCCCCACACGGCAGCTCACAACTGTCTGTAACCCTGAGATCTGGCACCCTCACACAGATAGCATGCAGGCAAAAACCCAACCACATAAAATATAATAAATAAATAACTTTTAAAAGGAGAGAGAGAAAACAGAGGAGTAGGCAAACACCTTACAGTTGACTGAAGTGGGATTCTGATTATCTCTTGAAACCGTTGGGCGTCTCCATTGCCTTCCCCTGTGCTTGATCTAGCTCTAAAGCAGCAGTCTGAGGCTCCTGACTCGGGGACCCTTTAGTTCAGCTCCTCTCGTTGCTGCTCCATAATCGTAATTTTGCTACTGTTATGAATCACAATGTAAATATCCGTGTTTTCAGATGGTCTTAGGCCACTCCTGTGAAAGGGTTGTTCAACTCCCCCAAAGGGACATGACCCACATATTGAAAAGCACTGCTCTAGGCCAGGCGCTGTGTTCAGGACTGATGGGGCCTGGTGGGGACCGTCCTGGATCCTGCAGCCTCACAATTTTGATTCAGATCTCAGTGACAAAAGTCAACAAGGAGAAGAGCAGGGGCGAGGCCAAGGAGGGTGAGGGGGTGGAGGGCTGAGGGCCACAGGACTGTAGGGACGATCAGGCAATTGTGATGCTGAGGGAGGTTCACCCCACACCCTTCTTCTTGAAGTCCATTCCTTCTCTAGCCCAGCTACACGGTTCTGAAACAAAAGCACTCACAGCCCAGAGCTGGACTCGGAGCCTGCTTTGGAGCCTTTGGTGCTGCGGTGTGAGGACATCTAGTCTGTCACTCCATCCAGGCCCTGCAGCTCTGCCAACTGTGCTCTCCGGACAAGTGCAGGCCTCCTTCGGTACAGTCCCGCTGCGCAGCCTTCCTTCTGCTCCCTTTCTCTTCTGGAGTTTTTCTTTCTCCCAATTCAAAGTTCTTTCCCTCCAGTCTTCGCAGGCGATAAGGAGGAGCCACCCCCACCCAGACTGCCGAGCAGCGGCCTCCAGACTCTAGGTATTGTGTGTGACAGGGAAACATGTCATCAGAGCCGAGATCCTCGTCCTTTGTTTCTGGATAGATTGCTGTTAATGAGAGACTCATTTTCACTTTCAAACTGCTAAGTAATTACTTTTTCTCTGGCACAACCACTTGCCACTCCATCTCAAAGAAGCCTCGTGCACGCGGATGTATTATGCATGAACAGTTGCATAATGGGCACACGTCCTGCTCTTCAGAGTGGCTTACTTATTGATTTTTAAAAATAATATACTTGGGACCTTCACCTCTGAATATTACAGGAGAGGATGAAATTCTAACAATAGACAACCGAGCCAGGATGCAAACACTATCATGTGTCTCGCTTCTTGAAACAGGTCTTGGGAGTGTCTGTCTCCTCTTTCCGTTCATTGTTCCTGGCAGGCTGACAGAGCCCTGACACACTGTGACAGCGACTCACCCAAACGACTTCTAATCAGCCACTTACACGTTTATGCATTTCAAAACTCAATCTCTGGACGTATATTAAACATAAATACTATTTAATGGTAGGTGTTCTTCTATTATACAGATTTCCTTCTTCTACACGTACACATACACTCCGCCAACCCCCTGAGAAATGTGAATGCCATTCCATTCAAAGCTCAATGAGGCTTTCCCAACATAGGAAAGAAGAAAAAAACCCAACCCTGATCATTTATGACAAAGATTTCGAGCAAGTCATTAGAGAAGGCCTTTCAACTGTGGGAGGGTGGCTAACATTTGACCTGGTCATGGAAACACGGCAAGGAAGCATGCTTTGTTCGGCTGGTTCTAAAACACACAGCCATACCCTTTTTGCACGCCCCCAAATACAGATTTAGAACAGGGTGTTAACATCACTGTGCCAGTTCTCTGCCCTTTGCACATGCTGCTCACAGTGGCGTTTGGAAAACGATGCCAACAAGAAGCCCTTTCCTGGTCCTTGCTCATCTCATGCTGAAAAGACCAGAAGACACACAGAGGAATCTCAAGGTTTGTAGGCTTCTCTAGATCCTGAAGCATGTGCTTCTTCCTGTTCGACATTGAAATTATAATAAATTATCTTGGTTGATGTGACAGACACAGAAGGAGTATACAGATGGTTTTATTACCAAAAAAAAGAGTTGTAAGAGAACTGGAGAAGATTTGAGACAAGCGACACGTGAGCCTGTCAGTAAAAGAGACTATGAGTTTGCACAGAGGAAAGGGCCAGGGTCCTGTCACTTTGTCTTTCCTTGTCCTGCCTGAACTATAGAGACCCACACAACAACGGCACTGGCCCAGACGTTTGTCAGCTCATCCCTCATTAGTGGATTTCCTGAGAGGTAAACTATCCTAAATTTCCTCTATGCTTTGGTGGCCAGAAGGCAGTCAGCAAAGGTTTTTCCCTTCAACCACTTTCCTTACAAATTCAAACAAATTCTGATTCCGTCTTCAAAGACTTCCACAGTCGCAGCCCACGTAGGGGCGCAGGAAGGACTGGAGAGGGGCAGCTCAGCTAAACACGAGTCCATCGTCTGGAGAGAGGGCTCAGCAGTGTGGGGCACATCGCCTTCCAGTCTGAGGGCCAAGTTAGATCCTTGGACCCAGATGGTAGAAAAAGAGCCCTGACCGACTCCAGCAGCTTATCACCTGACTCTACACATGTGCTGTGCTGTGCACACACACTCACGTGCTCACACACACACACCAGGTAGATAAAACCCACTGGTCCACCCCTAAATTTATAGATGTATACATACATGCATAATTTTTTTTTAAATAAGAGATTAGTTTGATAATTCAATTTCAGTTTTTCAGTCTAGTCCTGACCCAGGATTTGGTCTGACCATGGCTGTGGAAAGTTCACACATTGATGCTGGGATGCTCAGCCCATCAGGTGCTTGCTGCTCACACGTGAGGAGCTGACCTTCATCCCACAGGAGCAGCCCGGGCATGGCAGCACATCTTTGTGGCCACAGACCTGAGGAGGCAGAGCCGGCTGGGTCCCCAGGGCCTGCCGATCAGCCGGCCCAGCATTCTTGGTAAAGCCTAGGCCAGGGAGAGATCACGTCTCAAACAACATGTGGACAGCCCTGAGGAGCAAGAGATACCTGAGGTATATCTTGACCTTGTTCCCCGAACACACGCATGTACAAAGGCCTGCTTGCACATCCACGCAAACTTAGGAAGACAAAACTAGGGCCATCATGGAAGGAACTGATATCCTTTTTTAAGTTGGCCTGTAAGCGAGCACAGAGGCCTCGAGAGCCAGGTGTGAATCCAACCTGTCACTAATCACCTGCAGGGTCTCAGGGGACCACTGTACCACTGAGGTTTATGGTTGTGGGCCAGCCCTTAATGTGTCTCAAGTCCTTATTTTCCCTGGCATAGAATGAGGCTAAAACAGCCCTGAGCCATTCTGTCACAGAGGTCGGAGGGCACAGATGTCCACGGAGTGCACTAAGTGAACAGCCGCCCTGCGCAGAACCTGTGCCAGCGAGGGGCTGGCCGAGGCCGGCACCGAAGTCCAGTGTGGAGGAGCCAGCTCTGCTCCTGCTTCCCGTGAACAAGGTTCCCGGCCTGGCAACAAGGAAACCAGGCACGGTCGCCATTTCTCTCCCTTCCTCTGGTTTGTGACATCTCCCCACACTGAGTCAACAATGACAAAAGGGAACCCTTCCGATGAATGCCCACAACGGATTTTCTTTACCTCTGGGCTGGGATCCCACAGAGGAAAGATGGCCGCCCGTGCTTGCCGGTGTAGACCAGATAAAGATCATGCGGCCAGGCACAGGAAAGTGCTTTCCCGGAGAAAACAGTGTCCTCCATTTATGCCTCCGGAAATAAAGCTGCTTTATTCATCCCATGTCGTACAAAAAGGCTTTTATCACACGCTTCCCTCCTCTGTAACACCCCACCCTTGGGGAAATCTGCGGTAATAAGCAATCCGGTCTTTTAATAGCAGGTAAACAGAGCAGGATGGACTAAAACACTCGCTCTTCTTTGTTTTACCCAACACACAGTGCTCCGTATTGCTCTCCTTTCTTTTCTTCTCATTTCTGTTAACAGTTATTTTTAAAGAATTAGGACAGAAACAGGTCAGTAATGCCGACAGATGCTTCGAGCGCATCCAGCTGTCCTCTGCTCAAAGAGGCAAGGAAACATTTTACTGGGCCGAGGTCACTTCAGTCCTTCTTTTAACCAACCTGTGATCCAGTGTGCCCAACAGACAGGACACTGCAAACTCCCTGCAGAAGGCGGCTCTGGGCTAAACAGTGATGGCCACGCCAACAGGGAGCTCGAGCAGGCGTTCACAGAGCCGCTGTTTTGGGGGCATTTCAGGGCCTGCAGACAGTCAGAGGTTAAGAAAGAGAAAAGAGCAAACAAACAGGCAATCCCTTCCTTTCTCTGCCCCATGAAGACACGCCAGCTTGCTCTCCTCCTATTTATTTAAACGTAGTTTTCATTTATTATCACAGTGTTGTGTGATGCCTGTGTATGTGACAGGTACGTGTGTGGACCCATATACGTGAGCGTGTGTGTGGCACAGTGGAGTTCAGAAGATCCTCTTTGAGAGTCAGTCCTTGCCTTCTACCACAGGTTCCAGGGATCAAATCTGAGGCCTTTGGTCTTTTGCAGTGAGGGTTCTTAACCTGCCATATTGCCCCTCCACACGGCTTGGCTCTCCTACTCCGTGTTAGCCCAGAAGCAGACCCAAAGCAGACTCCTCCCAGAGCTGGATGCTGCTCAGGTGTCCAAACAAAGACCAGTGAACCCCTACCCTGAGCACTCCCAGGAAGTTCACTGTAAAGTTAGGAGAAGCCAGAGGCCCAGTGCAGCCCCCTGATTACCTAGCACTCCTGGGAGGTGACAGAACTGAAAATCTTCTTTTCAAACTATTCTCTGTGGTCCCTCGCCTTAGAGAGATGTATCGGCTTCCTTTCCATGTGGAAACAAACAAACAGCAAGATTTCAGAGACAACCAAGATGAATTTACAAAGGCACAATGCAGGGGCCAGAGAGACAGCCAAGGCTTGAAGGCACTCGCTGCTCTTGCAGAGGACCAGGGTTCAGGTCCCAGCACTCACCAGGGACTCTGCTGGCCCCTCAGGCACCCATGACAGCCACCAGGGACTCTGCTGGCCCCTCAGGCACCCGTTCTCATGTGCACAGACCTACATACAAGTACACCCATACATGTAACCAAGACAGTGTGAAAGGGAAGGGAGCCTTAACAACTAGGTTTGAAATAATGATCTAGAAAACAAGTATCACCGCATCAGAACTAAAGCACTTCCCAGTACCACCACCAGCCAAACTAGACCTCGGCAGCTGGCAAATTAAAGGTTGAAAAGGTCTAATATGATTCCTAGGAGCCCAATAAATTAAGCTACAGATGTTATAACTATTCAGCTGACAAGCTGAAGTTATAACCCTTGCTCTGAAATTTGAAAGTTGAGGCATCACAAGGAGAACAATCATAATCTTATTTAAAAATTAGTGTGGACTGCTTCATCCATTATCTACCAGGGATTCAGTTTTAAAATATTTTGCCTATCTTATTTGATAAAATCAGTTTATTTAGTGATTTTAAGTTAAAAAAATAGATTTATATATAACTCTCATTTATATTTAAAAACAAATCCATAGTCCTTGCTCTTGTGTTCTCTCTTTAGTTTTCCATTTAGTCCTCTTAGTTTCTATGTCCCCTAAATTGACAGAAGGAAGAAAATGTGTACTGTGTGCGCTGGCGCACAAATATTCACAAATCTGTTTGCTTTCTGATACAAGAGTTCAGTCTGTAGCCAAGACTAGCCTCCAACTCATGGCAATCCCCCTGCCGTAGCTTCCCAAATGCCTGGATTATAGTCATGGCACTCTATACACAGCAAACACTCACAAATCTTAAGTAAACATTTTTAGAGACAAAAAGGACAGTATACAAAAGAAAATAGAATTAATTTATTTAATAGTTCAAAACAAAACTTCCAGACCCCATGAAAATATTGATCATACTTCCTTAAGCTCACACTGGCACTTTTTCAACTTCGGTTTATTATTCACACATATAGTAGACGCAAAACTTGAAGTGGTGTACGGAGATGGCTTAGCTAACAATCCCTAGTTCCCTCCAGGATCCAGCAAGTCTGTGTCCTAGAAGCAAATGTCTCACTCCGAGTTCATCACCAGCGCCCCAAATCTGAGAACCAAGAGACAAGTCCTATTCTTGCGGGCCTGCACGGCTTGGCCTGGCACCTTGCTCCACATCTAGCCGCCTGCTCAATCTCCTGGGCCTGCTCCCACTGCAGCTCCCATTCGTTACCGTCTGGAGCCTGGAGCTGGTGTTAGTTTGAACCACACATGCAAGAGAAAAGGTGGGGGCTCATTCACACTGAACTGCATCGGTGGCTGAGCAATGCATTACGCTGCCCAAGCCTTCACCCTTGTAAGAAAAGGGAGGGACATGGCACAAACCTTCTCCTTTGTTTTCTGGTTCTCCGCTCGGAGGTCTTCATATTCTCCTATTGCTAAAAAAGAAAAAAAAAAAAAAGGCAACATTAAAACTCTCAAAATGTCACTGCAGGAAAGCCTGCATCCTCAGCTGGCCCCAGTAACTGTTCCCTAAGTTTGGTGGAGTGAAAGGGCTTTTGCTTTCAAGTTCAGATGTGAGGCCACCACACCGGGTCATGAGGAAGACCCACGGGAAGAGTCAGCCCTGCAGTCCTCTGCAATGCTCGGCTCTTCCTGTGGAGCTCCCAGGCTCAGCCCCTCCCGGACTCCACTCCCCGTGACATGAACAGCCACGCCAGGACCCCACAACCTTCACTTCACTAAAGTGGAAATGTGAATCCCCAGTTGTTGGGGAAGTGCTCATGGAGAGGCCTGGACCCCCACATTCATGTTTCAGTAAGAGTACTGTCTGTCAGCCTCCTTGCGCTGAGACCGAGGTGTGAAACAGTGACAATGCATGACCCTGAGGCAGAGCCTCTGAGGCCAAGTTCCCCAGCCACTGGGCAGGACTCAACGAGAGCTGGGTTAGCACAGCTGCACGCGCACCACTGTAAACACGTTTTTAGATATTTAAAATGGGGAGTTTGGGGTTTTTTGGTAATTTTTTAAAGTTTGTTCACTTTGTATCTCCACTGAAGACCTCTTCCTCATCTCCTCCCAATCCCACCCTCCCTCTTCTCCTCCCATACCCCTTCCCCAATCCACTGATAGGGGAGGTCCTCCTCCCCTTCCTCTGACCCTAGCCTATCAGGTCTCATCAGGACTGGCTGCATTGTCTTCTTCTGTGGCCTGGTAAGGCTGCTCCCCACTCAGGGGAAGGTGATTAAAGAGCCAGCCACTGAGTTCATGTCAGAGACTGTCCCTATTCCCCTTCTTAGGGAAACCACTTGGATATGAGCTGCCATGGGCTACATCTGTGCAGGGGTTCTAGGTTATCTTCATGCACAGTCCTTGGTTGGAGAATCAGTCTCAAGAAAAGACCCCTGTGCCTAGATTTTTTTTTCTCCTTGTGTAGCTCCTGTCCCCTCCAGGTCTTGCTATCTCCCCCTTCTTTCATAAGATTCCCTGCACTCTGCCCAAAGTTTGGCTATGAGCCTCATCATCTGCTTTGATACCCTGCTGGGTGGAGTCTTTCAGAGGCCCTCTGTGGTAGACTCCTGAAATTTGCAGGCAAATGGTAGGAACTAGAAAATATCATCCTGAGTGAGGTATCCCAGAAGTGAAAAGACACACATGGTATATACTCACTTATAAGTGGATATGAGACATATAATATCGGATAATCATAGGAAAATCTGTACACCTAAAGAAGGTAAGCAAGAAGGAGGACCCTAGGGAAGATGCTCAATCCCCATTCAGAAAGGCAAATGGGACGGACACTAAACATTTTAATAGAGATTTGTTTTTTAAATGCAGCTCACTTTTCTTTCTTTTAAAAGGGTTTCCTATTTCTATTAATAATCTGAAGACAGAAATAAAACCCGAGGCCAACAACTTCATGGTATCCCAGGCATGGTGACACACGCCTGTAATTCAGTGTTAGGAAGACTGAGGCAGGAGGGTCCACCCTGGCCTACCACAACCCTGCCTCAGCCTCCCCTCCCACCTAAAACAGAGCATCCCAGACAACCTGGCCATCAACTCTAGAAACGTGTGTCTACCCAAAGGGCAGAGATGCCCCAGAAAGGAACAAATAACAGGGCAAGGGACAGCTTCTTCCCCTCTAGCAGGGACGCCAGGGTCTAAGACACCTGCTGGGATAGCAGCACTAAAAGTGCAAATGAGCACTACGGAACAAAGCATGGAAGCCACGCACCCACACGTCTCCAAGCATTAGGCCACTCACGGGACAGCTCTGAGCACACGTGAGATAGAGCCCTTCAGCGAGCAACTTCTCCAGCGGGAAAACTTGACAAAGCACAGAATGAGGTCCTCTCAACCTGGGCTCCTCAGCAGCACGCACTCACATCCCAACAACTGACTCTGAGCTAAATTGCCCTCGGATCTCGACAGTGTCCCCCTTTAAGAGAAACAAACACTAAGAGAGAGATTCCTAACTGTGCACTGACGCTATAGGGTCGTGGACTTCAGCCCCAGCCCCAGGGACCATTATTCTAATTCTGCTTTAAACACAGATAAAAACGTTTTATTGAGAGGTTTTGATTTAGTGTAGCCACAGGATGAGGTGGATGGCTCTGCTTGCCGCACAAGCGTGAGGAGTTAGGTGGCCTCCGAGAACACACAGAGACGTGCACAGCACCAGCACACACCTGTAACCCCAGCGTCCCTCTGCAGAGCTGGGAGGCGGAGGCAGGAGAAGGCCTGGCAGCCTGAACAACAGAAAGTGCGGTCTGTGCAGTGGTAAGCGACAAAAAGAAGCCCTGTCTCAAACAAGGTGGACGGTGGGAACGGACAGCCAGGGCCGCCCCACTGTGCCACTCACTGCCATATGTGCCCATGTCCACGCACACATCGGACTCACGCATAGCTGTTTTTACTTAAAAAGTTTTAAAGTATCTACAGATGGAATTTAAAAATCGACACTGGGGCCAGGGAGATGGCCCATCGGCTAAAAGCACTTGCCACCAGGCCTGATGCGCTGTGCCCTAGCACAGTGCCACGTGAAGGAGAGGACCACTCCTCAGGGGCCCTGACTTCACACATGCACCGTGTGTGTGCGCACTGCTTTAACACTGCAGTATTAGTGACCTGCTTTACAGACACTAAGTAAACAGTAATGCAATAAAGCTACCATCTTGAATTGATATTAAGAAATGATTTTTTTTTCTTCTTACAACATGAAATAGTGTCTTAGGAAGCCTTTCTAGATAGTCGCACCATGCTTCCATTATACCTCCAATGACTCAGACAAAACAGTAAACTCCTGATTGCTGGCTCTTTATTAAAAGTGTTAATTAAGAACTTTCACCTACCACATTTTAATAGAAACCACAGAAAACATGCTTTGCTTTTTTTTTTTTTTTAATAACTACATGACACTAACAAAAGACAAAAAGCAGGTACCTAAGTAAGCGTAAATACAGAAAAAGCTTAGTGACCTGGTTACAGTTGGGGAAAATGGGGATGAGGCACAGATGGGAAGAAAATGGTTATTTCTTGGAAGTTAAAAGGCAGAGCTCATTCCCAGAGCAGCATCCGTGCACGCACATATTCACACGCGTATGAACGTCTCACCCTGATAAGAGTTGCCCCCATCATCGTCAACGAGGTGGCTCCTATTGCTTAGGTACTTCACTGTTTAAAGGGATGTGCCTGTGTGTCTGTGCAAATGAGTGCAGTTTCCTGCATATGCCAGATGGGGGCACTGGGTCAGCTAGAGCCAGAGTTAGGGTGGTTGAGAGCCCTCTGTTTTGGGAGATGGAAACTACTCTCAGGTTCTCTGTGATAGCAGCAAGAGCTCTTAGCCTCCAAGCCATCTCTCCCCAGCATCAGCTCCTTTTGCAATGGATGTTAGGGAATAAAAGAAAGCTTTCTTTCATTGCTTCAGAACTGGCTAGCAGCTGGAAACACTTAAAATGAGTGTGTACAACTAATGTGGCAGAGTGATCCTTTGAAGCAATGCCTCAAACAAAGGTGGCGAGTCCCTTCCTATGGGAAGGCACACACGCACACCTCAGTTTTCCAGTTTCTCGGATGCCACTGTGTCAGACAGAACAGAAATCCAGTGAGCATAAAATGGCTGGGGTGGAGTCGGGGCACCTGTGCTGCTGTGATTCGAAAGAAGTGAGTTCTTTAACAGGCCAGGAACAGTGCTGACAGTGTGAAATGGATGGAAGGGAGGCCTGGAGAAAGAAGGGAGTGTCAGACAGGGCGCGTGTTCCGAGAATCACGTGGTGTCCGTTTCCTCACCCCGAAGCTGGAGGAGGCCGTGCCTTCCAGACTGCGCAGCCAGCCCAGCAGGGACGGCAGCCACACTGTCAGGAACACGCCAACGCAACTCCTACCGATGAGCTGTCCACACACCCTCGAGACCGTCACCAGCCCTCGGAGCTGCCCCTGTGTGCCGTGTCAGCCCTGCAGACCCAGTGAACCCCTGGGGAGTGGCCCGCTTGACCTCCCGGTCCAGCATCGTCCCGGATCTGCGTGTTCCACAGCCTTTCGGTAGCTGCGAAGCCTGACATGGCCGCCTCGGTCCCACGCAGCACTTGAATCCTAATCAGTTACAGGGTAAATTTTCGAGTTCGTCGTCTCTCACAGGTAGCTAGTGGGTACCGCATTACACACGGAGCCTCACCAACACAGCATCGGCCTCCACAGGCCCCTGCCATTCTCTGCTTCTCTGCTGGCCGCCCTCTGAGCAATTCTCCCTGCTCACCTGCACACTGAGCTCTCCCCCACCAGCAGCCTCCTGTGTCCGGCCTCTAGTGTCCTTCAGCTCCCAGGTCATTCTTCATCTCTCTCTCTCTCTCTCTCTCTCTCTCTCTCTCTTTCCAGTTTCATCTTTTTACTTAAAAATCTCCAAAGAATTTTTCCTCACTTCCTTAAGCCCTACCTTTCTCCCTGTCACTCAGCCCTTCCCTGCATCTCTGAAAAAGGTTTTTGCTCTGCGTGTGGCCTCTGCCCTAGCTCCCTTGGGCACACGGCTCAGCTGCCACTCTGGGAGGCCATCCCTGCAGTCTAGGCAAAACCAGCTTTTGTGTCTCAACGTGCAACCAGAGCGTCTTCCTCAGCAGAAGCTGCGCGTCCTGGGCGCCGAGGCCCGGGCTGGGAAAGGCTCCAAAGCTGTTTGCACAGCTCCAGATTTTAGAGCACAGCACGTCACATTTTCACATCGGGGTGCTTAAGATTTGAAGCCTATACGAGTTTTCCAAAGAGCCAGATGAGAGATCGAAGCCCGTGTTCCTGCTCGCCTCCCTGCGCACAACACCACAAGCTATGCGCACACGTCTCTGCAGATCCCCAATCAACTGGCTCTGCACTACTCTGTGCCGTCAGAGCGCCAAGGGGAGAGTCCATGCCCGCAGAGGGGCTGAACGCAGGGCACACAGATAAACTTTGTAAAGTAATGGACCAAATATTACCATCTCCATTTTAGAAAGGAAGGCCCGGACGCAAAGGGAGCTCCATCTGCAGAAGGATTGAAGGCAGAACCTGGGCGCTGAGTCCCAGAGTGCCTCACTGCGTAACACAGCCCCCCACTAGACAGGCCACAGGGCAGTCAGTGCTTATCTGCTCTCACGCTAAGTGCAGCCCGTGCACAGTTAGCCCTGCCCTGGGGAGGGAGGATGAGTGTGCTTTCCTACAGCTCGCCACCAAATGCCCAGCGGGGCCCTCAGGACACCGAGTCTCAGTCACACCGAGACCCAGAGACATGGAGGAAGTGATGCCTAGAAAAAGCTCTCCACCACCGGTGCCAATGCTCCAACACACATTCTTGTCCCAACAGGCTCGGGAGCCCGGAGAAATCATAAGGGGAAGGGGAGGACTGCAGTCATGGAGGGGAGGACTGCAGTCATGGAGGGG